GAGAATTTTAAAGGAATGGCTCACCATTACATGAAGCTCTAGTTAGTGCATTTGCAAAAGCATACTTTACTTTTTCTTAATCTAGAGCCAATGGAAAATCATGCTGTGCAATCATTTTGATTCAATGAATTGTTCTATTACACACAAAAATTTGATAGGTTAAGTCCAATTAGTCAACCCATGAAGTTAGTTTGTGGGTCAATTTGTGACAGATTGAGCCATACCAACTAACTTGCAGATTTCGGGCCCAAGACAACTCATAAACTAGTGGAATGGTACAAAAACTCATTGATGGAAAGATTGAGGGGTTATCCAATTAATAGCTCAAATCCCATTTATTACTATTCGACATAAGTCAATTCACATTACGGGCTTCAAATGCATCGCAAGATATGCATTGGTATTGGATATCATCATATTTTTTTATTATAATATTCTTTTTTTTCTTATCAGTGATAGGGTTGGTGTAGCTTTAGTGACGAACAAAATTAGAGAGAGTCGTCTTAGATGGTTTGGTCACATTAAAAGTCGACCATCTGATGATTCGATTATGAGAGTAGATGGTTTAGATTCAACTTATGTTAAGCAAGCTGGAGGTAGACCTAGGAAGACTTGGTCTTATTGTATAAACAATGATCTTAATTTCTTAGAACTTAATGAAAATATGACACTAAATAGAATGCAATGAAGAAAAAGGATTCATGTAGCGAACCCACGTAGTGGGATTAAGACTTTCTTGCTGTTGTTGTTGTATTCTTTTCTTTCATATAATAATTATACCTCATCATATATAAATATGGGTCAAATGCATAAAAGGGTAAGGGACATTACAAACAATAATGTGAGCTTAGCCTCAATCTCATACTCACTTCGATGTTCACTTTCATTCTTCACCCCAATTCCTGTCTCTCTTATCTTGGTGGTATGCCTGCTGAACAAATTTAGATCAAACATTCTTTTAGGTGCAGTAGGTTTGGATATGCCACAAACATGAGGAGCATTTCAAGAAGTTGAATATAGTGGCAAAGAACATTCCATGAACATGGACAACACCATAGAATAAATCACACAGTTTCTTGAATTCTAGAACAAAGTGGCTAGAATTATACAAGACGCTATGGAGCACTTCTTAGGGTAGCCCTCTGAATGGATTTACCCACTAGATCCTCTTACTCTGCATTAAGGAGACAACTCAAACTCCCTAGATCATTGCCTTCTACTTCAGTAGAGGGAGATGAAGATGATGAGACTTACTAACTAGGCAACTGGCATCGACCTCATATTGGAGTTGGGAAGACTGAGCGAAGTGAAAGCTTCTATTATATAACATTTTCTCTAAATAGATTGCGGATGTGAAGCTTCCCACGAAGTTCAATATTCATTCATTGGAATCATATCGAGGAAAGATAGACCCTTTAGATCACATTACCTCATTAGAATCAATAGTCTCCTTGTTTAATACTAATGATGCACTAAAGTGTCATTATTCTTTACGACTCTAAAAAATCTATCTTGAGATGATTCACTATCTTTCCCTTTAATAGTTATCACCTTTTTCTTTGAGTTCAATTAAATATTTCTGACGGAGTTTTGTGGAAGCCCCAAAGTCACTAAAAAATCTCCAAGAATTAATAAGGATGCGACAGAACTTGATGAGTCCCTGAGTAGTTTTATTGCCTTTTTTCAATTGAGAGCTGCTGGAAGTCAAATATCTCATGTTAGTTGTCGCTCACATAACTTTGGCCCAATGGCCTCCAAGAAGGCCCTTTAAGGCATACTCTTAGTCTTCAACAACTGAGAGCTTTAGGCGAGTTGTTGGAGCTCGCTAAAAGTTTTTTCATCATAGAGAAGGACAACAACGAAGCATTGCTTCCACTTCCATGCATACTGAAAGGTACTGGAATCCAAAAGAAATCTCCAATCCATAGAGGAGAGAAGAAGCCCGCTCCATGGAGAGAAAACTAATGAGATATTTCCCTGATTAAATGTTAGCTCGCCATTGTGAAAAGTGTATCCGTCATGATGAAGCTTGACGTTATGAGCCCTAAGTTGCATGTCATCATTTTTGACTCGCCTGTGATCTCGTACGAGGCATCGCTGTCAAACTAGCTAAGCTTTTAAAAAACTAGAGCTAGTGAGAGTCAGCTGTCACTTGCGTGACCGAAAGAAGTATTGTGCTTACCCTTTGACCATGGCCATGACACAATGTTCCCACCTCCGAAATCAGGTGGGGGAACTGACTAGAGTTGAGGAACTAAAGGATTTCATATTCGTTGAGATGAATACTATAAGAGATGGAAAATTTTCTGATAGGGCAATGATAATTAGTCTTAGCAGTTAATCGGGGTAGTCTAGGTTATTCATTTTTTTTGGCGCCAACTCAAGCAAAACCTCTAACAACCTTCATTGATGTCGACCTGGCAGCTAATGGCAACCCGTACAACAACAGATAGCGGGAACTTCTTCATTGCTTGGGAATGGGATGGGACAATTAGGAGTTTCATTGCTTGGGAATGGGATGGGACAATTAGGAGTTACCTTCGGGACTTCCTTAGACTCCTCTCCTCCTTCCTTCTCCATATATACTACAACCATCTTGTCTAACAAGGGCCCTTTTTGCAAGAAGATCGACAATAAAACAAGGCAAAAAGTCAAAAGGTAATCTTATGTGAATTCGGCAAATGTTGTATAATCAACACAAATAACGAACACACTTACAAGTCAATATCTTATGGAGAAAACCATAGTCAATGTAGCTTCATACCCAAAACTCTAGCATGTCTATCTTGTCGAAGATCTTCTGCTTGAATTGACGCCGTTCAATTGGGGACCCACAACTTTTCCTTGAGGAACTTCAAGGGCTGGGAAAAGATTGGGCATCTGCCCTTGCATTTGGCAAAATAATAGTAGAGCTTCTATGCTCTAATCTTGTTTTCCAATCTTACCATATGGATCTTGTAAGAGGAGAACATGATAAAGCCGTCTTTGTATGCCTTCACCATGAATAGGCGGTGGAAGAGGCTCAACGACTACAATATTTTTTCCTTTCTCACATAGCGGACCACAATCGTGACGTTCATGAAGGAGTTTGACATCACCTTTTCAAACAACATGCGCTAGACATTCAATGTCTCCTCCAACTGATGGCAGAGAGGAAATTGCGAACCTAGGCTAAATGTGTCTTTATAGCAATGCAATTCATCATCATAGATGATTTTGGGATATTCACTCTCTCTGATGACATGTCTATCATCGAAAATATATTTGATTGCAGGGCATTTAATTTTATCCTTGACATCCTGGTGGAACTAGCCATCCCACTATGGAGGAATTAGTCTGTGCACTTCGGAAAGGAAGCCATGGGAGAAAAGAAGGAAGATTCAATCGATTAAAGATGAAGGAAGCTTGAGGAATTGAAGGCCAAGGGAAATGTTTGAATAACAATGAAGTCTATTTATTTATAGAAAGGAAGAGATATGAGATAATCAAGGTTACATTCTCGACCTTATTGATGTTTCTCTTAAAAAAAATCTTTAATTAGAATTTAGATGATACGGTTCGCATTTTTGAAAATTCTCCCCATCATTACAAACACATTTTAGTCATATTAAATAATGCATATTTCATACGCAACATATAAAAGAAATATGCATGATTAAATGAAATGACAGCTCCATTTCCTTTTCTTATGTTAAATGCATAAAACACTAGGGATTGGACTCGACATTTTAAAAAAAAGAAATAAAATCCTTGAAAAGAATTGGAATCCCGGGTTAGAGGTGACTTCACCAGGAATTTACCCACTTTGCAATAGACTCTTCAAAATGAACTCACTATCAGCCAAGAACTGATTAGATCAAGTTGTGCCCAGACTCTGACTAACCACTATTTGAAGCTTCAGTGAGGCGTATTCATCAACCTAGGGCTCCCACTACCTTCCCAAGAGAAGTTCGCAGTTTACCTAGCTGACCAAGAAGTTGCATCCATCTGCCTCTACAACTGACCTTACCGTGCAAACTTTGGCAGACAGGCCTTCCACTATTTGCCTCAAGGACATGATCATCGCTTCTACAAGAGAGCGTGAGGTCACCGCCAAGGCTTTTTGCGCACTTAATACTTCGACAGAGGTCACCATCCTCTCCACTCTAGGCCTTTATAAACTTGGTGGAATCCTTATCCCACTAGCAACCATGATCTGGGTGAGAGGCCATCTGTCTTTATTAAACCCATGTGAATGCATTTTATCAAAATTGCTCGCTTGCAAGAAGTCTCATGAAGTATCCCTCTCAACTACTCCTGCGAGGATGTAGCCTCAGTCTAACAAAGAGCAAAGAACTCGGGGATCTTCTACTGTCCTTGTCTCCGCAATGACATCTAGATAAGCAGATTGATCTTCGGATGGCTTTTCAACAAAACTTCATATTTTGAAAACTGCAATGTGAAAAATTATCATTTTTTCAAATTTTTTCCATTTCTAATAATAGTTGTATCTTCATAAGATTGAAACTTCAGTACTTATCATTTGGATTTGCAAGGTTATCCGCAGGAAAGGAAAATGATAAACGTAAAATATATGCATAATTAACCCACATTTAATCCATTAATTTACATTGATTTATACACTATTTTAGAATATTATCGTATTGATTAATTAAATATTAAATTTGCAGGTGTGCGAAGAAAATGTTTGAAAGGGACTATGCCTAAAGTGTCACTTTCACCTGATTCAGTAGGTTTGAAGTTGATTTGAAATGAAGGAAAGCAAAATGATATCTAGGAGCCTGGTAGATGCCTAGGCCCCACTTTAGGTGCCTTAATTCTTCGTCGAGTGCTTTAGTGCTTAGCCCAAGCACCCATTAGCAGACACCAAATCGAGTGCTAGGCGCCCAGGCACCATCTACAAGTGCCCAAGTGCCAACTTGATGGATCAAAACATAGAGCATGGTGCCCAGATGCCCGATTCTGTAGTTCAAACCTAGAGCTTGACACTTAGACACCACTGGATGGATCAAAACATAGAGCATGGTGCCCAGATGCCTGATTCTGTAGTTCAAACCTAGAGTTTGACACTTAGACACCACTGGACCACCTTACAAAATTTTGAGTAAATTTTACCCGATGCCTTGCCTTTCTTGAAGGAGATTGCAGTCTCCTCATTTAAGGGAGGATTTAGAATGAATTAGGGGACTTTTTGGCAGCCCTAAGCAAAGTTTGGAGGATATTTTCCTTGTGTTTTTTCTAGGGAAAATTAAGGAGAAGCCATGTGGTTTTCTAAGAGGTAGAGTTAGGGAAGGATGATGATTGATGAGAAGCTCACCTTACCCATCTACCTGAGTTTTTAATAACTTTATTTGCTATTATTTTGTTGCAACCATGTTTAAGCAATTTCAATTGTGTTTTCTTCTCTTAGATATGAACTAATATCCCTTTGAAGTGGTTAAATGTTGTATGTGTTTTTCTTTTGCCTAGTTGATGTTAATACAAAGTATGTGTTGTTGTTTTTTTCTTATTACCTTTCTACGACATATTTTGCTATAGTAGATACAAATTATTAATTGTGTGGATATCTATTAATAGCATGGTGACTTGTTCGATTTCGAGAGGTGGGTGGATGGAGCATTGATTAGATATAACTCCAGCAAACACGTGTGGTTTTTGCTGAGACCGGAAGAGCATTGACAACTTTTTTCACATTAAATCTATCACCAAGTGGTTGGTAGGTTATGCTAGAGAAAGTAAAAGTCATAGGCTTGCGAGAGCAAGTAGCAGCATATTCGGACTATAGTATCGTTTAAAAAGTCATAGGCTTGCGAGAGCAAGTAGCAGCATATTTGATCGGACTATAGTATCGTTTAACCAACCACATTCCTTGTATATATTATCAACTATCTTTAACCTACAAATGTGAAATCCAATCCCTATAACTCTTTTGTCTTGATTTCAATTCCGGTGAACCATTGCTTTCATTGCTAGTCTTTTTTTATTCGTATTTAGTTTTGATTATTGATTCGCCCCGATTCAGTTTTTCGGATTACAATCCATTAATTAAGTTTTGGTTCTTGCCATGTCAACCCTTGTAGCACGATACTTACTCATTCTTTATTTCCTATGTGATCGAGTCTTCTTTTGTGTGCATGAAATTTTGCACCAGAAAGCTTGCGTAGGCTCTTAATCTCACTGTTAGTAGGTTATGGAGCCAATGGGGGAGGGTTCACCTATGCTTCCACTTGAGCGTTGACACCGCCTTGCCTCCAATTCTCGCTTTCTCCCTCTTCCCCCACTTAGGAGATCCTTTGGTTCACCATATCTTGTGAAACATCTCAGCTGTTATGTTTTCATCCATCATGACGAGCTTGTCGTCTATAATTTTCATGATTTTTCAGAAAAAGAAAGCATTTGGTAGAGATGATTTTCTAGAAAAATAAACCAAGCTGAACCATTTTTTCCTCAGGACTCCTGTTTATATAGGAAAACGAAGAATCTAAAGAAAAAGAGATGTCTACTCATCCATAATTCCAAGAACTACATGATTATTAAATAAAATCTAATAAATTTAATTCTATTATTATTGTGGCAACTGGCTTATGAAGAAGTGAGAGAGTATGGAGATTAGATATGCATGCACAAAAATTTGATAGGTTCAGTCGGATTCACTAATTTTAAGTTACTCTGCAAGCCAATTGGTGATAGGTCGACTTGGACCCGCTAATATATGGGCCAGCCCACGACTCAACTTACCATAGTCTGGGGAAGTGGCCTTGACAGCTCATCAGCACACAACCTAGTTGAATAACCCAGAAATTCATTGATGGCCTAATTAAGAGTTTACTTAATGAATAGCTCAGACCCTATTTTTGGCTATCCAGCACAGGCCAATTCGACGGCAGCTTCAAGCAAAGTCAATTTTAGGCACCATAAACTTGCCCAATGGTCAGTTCATACCATATTCCCAACTAATTCAGCCAAAATGTGTCCGGCATCGACTTGTCCAATTGCTTAATTAGTGAGGGCATTATATGATCATTTAAGCTGCAAGTGGCATTATAGCTCCACATGAGCTGTAAGATAGGCCTATTGGACGTCACCATTTGCCTTTATTTTAATATTATTTTCTGCATGTGATCATTGTACTCTATCTTGTATAAATGGGGGTTAGTTGTACAAGAGGATATCACGAGCCATAAGACAAAGGGCATAATACGAGTAAGAATACTAGCCTTGCCTCATTCTCTGACTGTCATTGTACTCTCTTGTTCTTTCTCTACCCAATCCTTAATATTGTTGTCTTGATGGTGTGTCTACCAAACAAATTTTGGATCAAGTAGTTCTATTTCCTTTTATGCAGAAATTCAGTATTTTGTAGCTTCTTTAATGCCCGTAGGTTGTTATTTATTTTCGCATAAGCTAAATTGCCTTCTTCCTGGTTGGTTAACTTTTTAATGTTTTTTTTCCAATTTTTCTTTACGTGCAGGTTGCAGCCTTCTTATTGCCTGGATAAGCGAGAGTTTTTGTAAACCACATAGTTCTATGCATTTTTCTTATGATGCATTCAAAAATATTTGCGGAGGATGAAATTAAGGAGATATTCTTAGGTGAAACTCTACAATTTTAATTGTATGCATTTGATCAGTATCTTATTTTATCACTTTATGTTGGAATAAATGCAATACTAATGTAAAGCCATACATAGAAGAAATTGTGAGAAGCAAAAAAAAAAAAAAACATTGATCCCCCTATAATCCACCCAAACTATTGGTATCCTTTTTTAATTTTGTTGCGTTGGAGTTGCATAACACATCCTTGGAGTGCATTTTTGGTGCATGAAACTCATTCGTATGTAATTTTTTATTTTGGAGAATGTAACAGCAAGCATGGGAGAATCACATATGGCTAGACAATTGGGATGCATTTGAGACTGATGAATAACCTGATGTTAGTCAAATGTACAACGAATTGCCATTGTTATACGGCAGTGTTTCCCTTTCTTTTCTCGAATTTGTTACTTGAATAATGTCAGCGTGATTTACCTGTCCAATTTGAGCCCTTTGCGTTGCCCTGAGAACAACTGATATATTTGATTTGATTTAGTTGCTTTTCTATCCTTCCAATGTAAAATTAGTTAGTGTTGTTATCTATATTTGATTTCCTTTCCATCAGTTCCAATATGATGTATCAGCTTGCTGTTTCTTGGCTTAGATTTGTCACACTTCACATTAACATTTCATTGTCATCCTGATTAACATTTCATTGAATAATCACTTGCTGTTTCTTGGGCTTAGAATTGTCTTCGAATTTGGTACATGTTTTTTGTGTCACCCTTCACATTAACATATCACTGAAATATATCATTGTAGTTATCTTATGGACTAACATTTCATTGAATAATCACTTGCATCTCATTAACATAAAACCACAAAAATTTTTAATGTATTAACTTTTCTTTTTTGCAGATCATGATTATATATGAAACATAATATTACCAACCTCTAGTATTAAATTGATATGAAAAATAACAAATCTATTGCTTTAAGCACAAATATGAAGTTTATGCCATGCTTTTAACATGAAATGTAAAATATATTAATAATTCAAAAAGATATACTTTGTAAATACTATTGTAATTGTATTTTAAAATATTATAAATTATTTGAAAAAAGAGGATAATATATCAGTTGTGATTTTTGAATTTAAGGATTAGAATTAAGCACAGTTCATAATGGGGCACAATAATAGCCCATCTAGTCTTTATTTTCTCCCTGCTTAACTTTCCTTTATTACATGGTTCAATAGTTAATTTAAGAAATAAAAACTATTAAAATAATTTAAAAAATGGAGCTATTAAATCACAAATATAGTTTGTAGAGACGAAAAATATTCTTACGTAATTGTAACGTGATTTTAGGTTAAGAGTATAACCTCAAAATATTTAGTAGACATGATTATGCATCATAGGAGCATAATATGAATAATCAAAATTATGAAATTGTAAAGATTTCAAGTTAGGTTCTTAAGGGAGGTAAATTGGAATTATTTAGTTAAGCTAAACGTGAAATGGGATAAGATGGCTGATATAATAATCTAATGTTAGTTTATTTGCCTATTATCATCTCCATTTCTACATATTCTGCTATTTATGCAATATCATGGCATGTGTTGTATATATTCTGGGCACAGAAGAGCAGAGTAGAGCTCATCTTACAGTTATTTGCATACAGGTTTTGGAAACTCATAAATTTAACGTAATGCTGACTTTAATGACAAATTATTCAAGAAATCAAATACAATTTACTATAAAATTCATGTCATCAACATTATAGTTACAGCATATGAATTTGACGACTGAAGATCCTTATCAGCAATGTTACTGTTTGTTTCTTAGAATTCTTGGTTCTTTCTATATCAACTTTGCAGCAATTCCATTGCTACTTCTGCTGCGAACATTGAAGTTTCTCACTGAAAGTTGGCAGAAGCCGCTGTGAACTGTTTTAACACACCTTTATTAGCGTGTTTATATAACTTCAATCCCCAGAATTGCTTTCTGGCATTGCCTCAATTCACTCTTTTTTGCTTTCGCCTGAACAATAATGGGACATTTACATATGTACCACACAATTTATATTTATTTACAAATCTAACACCTAAACTTTTATATTTAAATGCATACCATTCGAATCTTTAACATTACATAAAAATTAGCACAATCACTATCTTTTTAAAGGTGAAATACACCTTTTTCATCTAGAGGCTTTTGACACCATGTGATAAATGTCAAAATCAAACTTTTGGTGTTAGATATAAAAGAACATACGATTTGTGTGGTACGTAATAAATTTCCAAACAACTTTTAATTAGAATTACAGAGTTAGAAAAGCTACAGAGTGACGAAGAACCATTATCATAAACATTGTAATATTCCTTGGAGAAAAATTTGGGTGGAAATTATAAAGAGGTCATTTCATACGTACCACCCAATTTCTATGTATTAACATATCAATCGTCCAAATTTTAATTTTTATTTACTACCACCTGAATCTTATATTTTCGGTATAGTTTGGGTGTTACAAATTGAAGTTTAGATGTTTGATATGTTAATACGTAGGAATTAAGTGGTAGGTATGTAGATCTCCTATTAATAGAATAAAAAATACGTTTGTATGTCAATCATTATTGTAGACTATAAAGAGAGTGCACTGTATTGTAGGGGCGTCAGAAATTGACCCGACATTCTAACAGGGCTCGAACTTAAGTAAAAAAATTTGGGTTAAGGTTGACCCAAATATTTTTTGAGTTGGGTTCAGGTCAGAGAATTCGACTCTTTTATTAATCTGGTGTTGAACCCGAACACCAAAATATGAACTGAATATGCACAAAATTTTGGGTCGGTTTGGGATTCCGGCCGGGTTGAACCTATTCTGGTCGGACCCGAACCTTATCCGTTGACCCAAATTGACACCTTTAATGTATCATATTACTTTTTATTGTTGAATAATAAGGCAGCTAAAAAATTTCAACTCAAGAAACCCTTTTGTTTTTACCGAAATGCTGACATATTATTCATTAGACTAAGTATTTCATTACTCACTCATCACCATGAAAACCACAACCAAAGCTTCAACAAGCAATAATTTGATTGTGTCAATTTTGAAAATATAGGCTTAATATTCAAATCATTTTATACGCAAACTAGTTAAAAAATATAGATTGTCTTAATTATACCATGCCACCCAAGAAATAGAGTATAAAAAAAAGGAGAGAGAAATAGAAAGAAAGAGAGATAGAGAGAATAATAATCTGTGAAATAGAAAGAAAGAGAGATAGAGAGAATAATAATATGTTGTCTGATTCATAAAATAATTTTTCTATTTATAGAGGAAAGATTATAATGAAGATATTATATTCTTACCCTCATTTAAAAGGGGCATGTTTTTGAATATTTTTGGTACTTTTCGTGTATAGATTTGTCATTCAACTATTTTTTGGCTCGGCCGACTAAGTTCAATTGACTTCGGATCAAAGGGATCAACTCACTTGGTTGAGTTTGGTCACTATGGGTTGGCATACCAAGGATCAACTCACTTGGTTGAGTTTGGTCACTATGGGATGGCATACCAATATTGTCTGCTTGTGGATCCTTGATCCTTGATGAGGAGCTTCTGGGCATTCATGTGGTGGTTGACACACATTCTTTTGTTCTTGTTTCTGGCTGAATAGTTCAGACTCAGATTATCCAGTCGTCTTCTTGTCTGCCTCGTAACTCAGTCACTTTTGACTTTGTTTGCTTGTCATGTATGGTTTTGATCGATCAGTCACATGGGGCTTAAAATCTTTTGGTAGTGGGCCAGCCTACATTGTACCCTTCTCTACCATTGGATCTCTTTAAGATCATTGCTGACACATTTTTTGTATCAATTTTAGTTTTGTGATTATCTTTTAAAATCGACACTATGATAAGTATAAAAAAAATTTAATGAAAAAATAAATCAATCTCAATTTGTAATTAATGATTAAATAATAAAACTATCTTGATTTACTCATCCTTTGATTCTTATAAATAGAGCACGATGGGACACTTTTTCATTCCTTATTTGCTCAGTGTCTTCTATCATTATAATCGACTTGTTTTAGACAGTTGGGCATTGTAATGGATAACCCGTCAAAAACCTGTGGTGATGTCTCCAACAAAAAAAAGATTCACTTTGCCTTTGAGAAATCGAAAGGCAGCCCCTAGAAGGTGAGAGGAAGAAGAAAGTTTTTGTGAAGGACACTTTTCCATTCCTTATTTTCTCACTGTCTTCTATCATTTTAATCGACTTGTTTTAGACAGTTGGCCATTGTAATGGATAACCCATCGAAAACCTATGGTGATGTCTCCAACAAAGACAACATTCACTTTGCCTTTGAGAAATCGAAAGGCAGCCCCCAGAAGGTGAGAGGAAGAAGAAAGTTTTTGTGAAGAAGAGAGTGGTTGCACTCGCACTACCAGATCTTGATTCTTTTTTTGAGATTATGAGGAGGAATAGTGTTTTATCATTTTAATCGACTTGTTTTAAACAGTTGGGCATTGTAATGGATAACCCGTCAAAAACCTGTGTTGATGTCTCCAACAAAGACAAGTTTCACTTTGCTTTTGAGAAATCGAAAGGCAGCCCCCAGAAGGTGAGAGGAAGAAGAAAGTTTTTGTGAAGAAGAGAGTGGTTGCACTCGCACTACCGGATCTTGATTCTTTTTTTGAGATTATGAGGAGGAATGTTTAGCTGGTCGACTTGACCATCAGTCCGAACCTTCTTCAGTAGCACAAGACCCTTTGGTTGCTCGGTTGCTCAAATGGCTTCTAGAGACCTCCCACGACATTCATTGGCACCTATTGGTAAGGGTGCCACATCAAACACAATATCTAAATGGAATTGATTCCTGAGCAAGACGGGCGTCAGTTTTGTTTTTGTGATTTGATCCTGAAGTTATTTTTATTTTTTGATGTTCCTTGGTGCAGATGATCCAGCTTTGTTAATACTAGATGGCAGTCTGTCTTTGCTCGACATAGGTGAGAAATTAACTAAGCGAAAGGCGAAGGCAACCTACTCTTGAGTGAAGATGTCGAATTTGATCGCCCTAATGTTCCTCTTGAAGGAAGAGTGGAAGTAGTCGATTGACTCAGGACGTCCCTAGGTTACTTACCCATCGTTTCAACAAAATAGAGAATTCATTTACTTGATCGATTGGAATCTAGCAGATGAGGAATTGCACGAGCTTTCATCTCGTGTTGAGAAGGTAGAGAGGATGGAGGAGGTGGTGGTGAGTCGTCATTGGGAGTTGTCGTACATTTGAGAGAGATCAGTGATGTTACAAGCTCAAGTCGAGTCGGATATACGTAGTCATTTTAAGTATGTATGGGAATTCTTGTATTGGAGGATGCTTATGTTGAGGTATGTCTTGTCTAGAGCATTGACTTGTCCCTTTGTAAAATATTTTATCTCAGACTAATTTTCAATTGTTACTATCACTTTAAAGTCTTTTGTTAAATAAAATTATTTTTTTAATTTTATTTTATGTGTCGATGTGATCCCATTGTTAACTTATTATGGAATTAAATTCCATTTTTTC